ATATTATTATCCGTGATTATCATTATCATCATTATGACTTTTGTGAGCGATCACAAATATTGTGAAATGTCATTCTGATTATGATGCAAGAAATTATTTCAGTATGATTATAAATTGTGTGTTAAATATCAATTGGTTTTCTGCGAAAAACGTACGACGGTCGGTAAACTAGTTATGCGTTCAAGTTAGCTATCGATGTTTAATATGTAGATTTCACCTTTTTTGCGATCAATCCGCATTATGTAAGTTATATTAGCCTTGATCTTATGCGCGGCATTTTTGTATAGAAATGGGGTAAAACTAACTATTCCTCAGGTTTGGTTCGCATTAGCTAAATATTGATCATACATACAAGAATGATCTTGAGGTTCTTAAGATCTGGTGGGTTGACTTCTGACGCTTAGGATATATTCCATATATTTGCCACTGGTGAAGAGGGTGGCACTCATGGGCGTGAAGTGTTACGGTAGGTGACCAGTCGAACAACAGGCATTCAAGTTAAGGAGTTTATGTTTTTGGAACTGGATGATACTCAAAAGACTAAACCCCAAGGGCGATAAGAATGTCTCAAGGGAACATGGTTTTTGAAAGATCGTCAGCCAGTAGAAATTTATAGATAAAATCGGATTAGCGGAAAAAAAAAAGATAACTAGTATAACTGCCCAAAAACCAGAGTTCTTGCGAGGCTTGAATCTTTGGGGCAATGGGTAGCTCTTGCTCTTGGGTAGTAGTTAGGATGGTTCGGAAAGAGTTGTGAAGGATGCTACATTTTCATTTCAAGTCATGATTTCAAAGTCAAATATTAGAAGACAGGAATACCTAAAGCCACGCATTTGCTCCGAAAGCTTTTTCGTTGTTATCAGCAAAGGTATTGCGAAGGCCCTTCGCTACACAAGGCTATAAGATATATATAGATTACTTTATGGTTGGTGAGCGCGTACGGTTTTTATTCACGAGTTCAAGAATCGTAAACGAACAAGCGAGTCTTCGATCGAGTGAGTTTGTGATTGTGATAAATCAATAAAAATCGCACAAACGAACCAACCATAAAGTAGTTTGTTTATTATATTAGTACTGAGGTATTACAAATGTCTGAAACTTTAAATCACAGTCAACTGGCCAAAAAAGACATTGAAGTCGCGAACCCGATATCGCTTATATTTAAACCCAATCAATGCTGTCAAGACGACTAGAACACTGCATTCGAATATGCTCAAAAAGGCGAAAGGACTGTACTTTCAAAATAATTCATTTCAAGAAAAAATATTATAAACCCTATTCAAAGGAATTTGGGCAAGGAATGACAAGGACGAATCAAAACCAGTCCCTTGACACTTTAGTCATTCTAGTTATTCTAACCAGCATATGGCAGTCTGCCATCTTTCCTAACATCTTTCCCTAACGCTCCGACGAAGGGCTAACGCTCGAAACGTCAGCTTTTGTAATCGTTACGGTGGCCAATTTACCATTTCAACTTTGTTGATATTTCCAAATTATTTCGTTACTCCCACCGAAGCGGCCCCAAACAGTTTCTTTCGAAACTATCAGTCCTTATTCATCTTTCCTAACAGTTTGGTAGCTCGGAAAGCACAAATCAGCACTCTTAATCCCATAGGAATCAACGAACGTTTTTCATTCTACTAATTCATTCTTGTTTTTCTCGCCAACAGGTTCCCACCGATAGCGTAGCTACACTTGCTGTATATAAACACACACAACCTTCAATTCCTCCATTCGCTCTGACGAAGCACTAACGCTCGAAACGTCAGCTATTCAACTCTTTACGGTGGCCAATTTACAATTCAAACTTAGTTGTTAAAACCAAATTACATTAGTAATAAATTCAACGGGCTTAAGGGCTCCTCACATGGGCAGAAAACGGAAACAAAGAAGAACTGGAATATATCTAAACCCCAGAAGAACAGGTCTAACATATTTTAATTGTGTTCACGTAGTGGATTTGAAAACTGCCGCAGGTAGCAGATTTGAAAAAAGTTCTATAACTCCGAATACCTTGTGTCTGAGATGGAAAACTCGGAGAGAGATTGATTTGGTCCGCATCTCATAAACAAAAACCGAACTGCCCACTTATTAAGTTTAGTTGCTTCTCTCTTTCGAAGTTGCTCTTTGACGCTTTATTTGCTTCATTATTGTATTACTTGCATTTATATTTGTACCACTGACAATAGTATAATTGATAATATGTTGTATTGCATACTATTGTCTTTTAGTTGAATAAAGTAGCTGATATTAAAGAAGAAAAAAGAACATCAAAGAATAATGATGTGGAGGAAACAAAATCTAGTGCTTGAAGCAAAAATATAATAAAACGCTAACTATGCAAATATTCAAAAGTGCTTTATATTATACTAGTTCTGAAGCTCCAGTACTAAACGCTTTCCAGAAAAGAAAAGTTTTGAGTTGTAGTCAGGCTGCTACAACAGGCTACTACAACATCTGATTAGTAACGGCAGGAGCAGCATGAACAAATGCGCGATCCCCAAGTGTAGAGGAGTGAAAAGCATAGTTAGAGGTAGGTTTAAGAGATACAATGTCCTCAAAGTAAGGCGGGCTTAGGTTGTTTAACGACTAAAAAACAAAAAGAAGCAATGAAAGGAATCGGGAACAGAGTGTGGGGAGTTGTAGGGTGCCTTGACATATGAAATAAAACAAAGACATGAAGGAGACCAGCAAAAAGAAAACAAGAATGAAACCATGCACCTTAATATTTGACCACTTGCTAACTTTAAGTAAATGTTTCACAATGCATCGAAAGGGGATGAACATCCTCATTAGAGACCTTGAATGAAATTAAAAACTCCAAGAAACTATCGCCCGAGAATTTGCCTCCCCATTTCCGAATGTGCAAATTATTTCGGAGGAAGTATACATGTATGCGTATTGACTATTTCTTGAGAAGCATAGGAGCTGCTTAGAGTAAGTAAAGCACTCATTCCAATCCCTCTGTACGTCAGTTAGATTTCAAGAGAGCCTTTGACCGACGCATACATTATCAATCAAGTGCGAGGTTAAAATGGCTGGATATTGCCTGAGTGTTGTCATTTCAAATGATTTGACTTTTGCTCAGTTTTTGAAATGCAAAAAGGAGGTGTTATTTAAGTTTTTCTTATATTATTCAAATAATTCGAATTTTTAAAGCGATCTCCCAGTAATGAACACTTTTAGAACTCTAATATGATCTAGCGCATTAGATCATATCCACATGTATTTTGCGCTATGTAAGTAACAAATTATTATTATTATTAATATACATAGAAACATATATATCCAATAGACAACATTCGTATTCCCCGACGGTCCTGGGACGAGTAGGCCCTGAGCATGAATGCGAGGCTGATGCGGGGAAGTGTTTAATTTCTTCGATTTCGCGTAAAAAATGCCGAAACATCTTCTTATGCCTACAACTGTACCAACAGCGAGGCTAAGAAAAAGAACCCAATCAAATACCCCAACGTTTCGAATGTTACTGTCTACTGTTGCCAACAAACGACAAAAAAAAAACAGTACGCTCCTGGGATAAGTGAACAGGAAAGACGTCGAAGGTGGATCCCAGCATGCCGGCTGGAAAGCCTAAATGTCACAAGGCATACTCGTATATGCTCTAAACACTTTGTAGGAGGGTTAGGGCCAACAAAGGTAAACTCTTTTCCTACGATATTTGATTTTCCTAAACCTCCAACGAAAAGAAGTGAAAGATGAAACAAGGCCAGGATCTGGAGACGAGACGTTTGAAGAATGCTTCCACGACAAACAGAATTCAGAAGGCAACTAAGTCTGACTAATCGAAGGTTAGAAACCATCTGGATTTCTGGATTTCTGGATTTCGGATTAAACCATTTCTTGTAACCAACTTTGCATTCACAACATCACTTATGGACTCACAGTCGTCGGTCAATTCGAGAGCAAGTTCGTGGGCTTTTCCGTCAGTTCGACTAATTCTTCCTTCTTTTAGTTGGAGACAGATATTCCTCGAGCCTGTAGGTATTTTTTAAGCTCTGGAACCTTCCAGTTTTTAAAAATTACTTCCATTTCTGCTACACCGGCCATTACTTTCTTGTATTTCGTGGCAGCTATTCCCCGCATTAGCCTCGCATTCACCCGCAAGCGCTTACTCGTCCCAGGGCCGTCGAGGAATACGAATATTGTCTATTAAGTTTTTCTTATATTATTCAAATAATTCGAATTTTTAAAGCGATCTCCCAGTAATGAACCGCTCTAATATGATCTAGCGCATTAGATCATATCCACATGTATTTTGCGCTAGAAATTATTATCATTATTAATATCTATATATAGAAACATATATATCCAATTTTCATGCAGAGCCCTCAAAGTTTTCGAATCATTTCAACGTCCTAAAAATTCAACAACACAAATTCGAGGTCCATAAAAAGGTAGAAAGTGAACGAGGCTAAAATCCAATAAAATCTTGACCAAAGATAAGATATGGGAAAGGTATTTCGCTAGCGCTGAGAAGGAAAGCCAACGGTAATGGTGCGTGCTCGTAGGTTTCTTTACGCTCAAAAAAGAAAACCTACAAAAGAAAACTTTCCGGTTTTTGTAGCACAATAAACTCGCCAAAATCTCTTTTCTTTATTTGACTGTTTTGTGTCAATTTTTGCATCTCCATTGCCGAAATTGTCCCAAAAATACGAATGTTCACGCAGTGTTTTTCTGGCGCGGGATCAAAACAAGCAATCCCGAGGGCGTAAGATGGGCCCATTTTTCTCGCTCGGGTAGCAATTCAGAACAGATGATTCGTTTTATAATGCACAAGGGCACTGCCATCTACTTAACACATTTTTTTTGGGGGAATCATGGGTTGATTTATGGCGCTGTTTCAGTTAAATGATGACGGAGGTAGAGCCAAGACTTATGAAGGATAAAGAATAGGACAACAGCTTATTTTGTTAATCTAAAATTTACCAAGTTTCATCGAGTTTTATTTTGTTCTAGTCGATTTTTTTCATTCGGTTTACCTCCAGTGATCCAGAGTGTGCGTTGCCTGCTCAATTTTCTTCAAAGCAACTGGCCGAAGAATAGATCCACAATCCACCTAGGAAATATCAGAATCAGTCAGCAGTTAGCGGCTCATGTACCAAAATCAAATGAATGGTAGACAGAAAAAGTCATACTGCTCATAAAACGGTTCACATCCGTGAAGCTCTCTCAAAGATACATTTACAGCATCTCGAATAAAGATACATTGTCGTGTATAAGCCATCAATCAGTTCAAACACGCTGTGAGAAGAGCTGACGACTAAGAAATTGGCGTTGGAGAACGGTGATTGTGTTATCTATCATTGGAGCCTACGCATCAATTAGATATAGAGTAGTGATTACTATGGTATCAAGAATTACCATTAATGGGTTGCATGTACTAGAAATTACCATTAATGGGTTGCATTAATGGTTGCATTAATGGTTGCATTAATGGTTGCATTAATGGGTTGCATGTACTAGAAACCGCGATAAGTGAAATCACTGTATCACTTCTGAGCGTTGTGAAAATAGTTACCAAGGAGTATGACATTAGAAGGATATGGATGGTTTATGTGTGGATAAGGACTGATATATAGAGAAATAAAAGGTAGAGAGTCTTCATTACTAAACAAGTATGGTCTAGTAACGAAAAGCAGACTAACAAACAAACAACGTTAAGCATAAAAATATTTCATTGAAATTTTCTGCTGAAAAGTTGAAGTTTTAGTTTACCTGAGCAGCGCTTATGAAGAAAAGCTGTTCATTTGTATAATTCAGTGCAGGAAGTTGAGGTTCTTTGCCATTCTTCTTAATCCATTTTTTATACGCCTGTCACGGTAAAAGACACTTATTTTGCGGCAACCCTAGACAACGATTATCGGCTAAAGAGATTTACCATTTAGAAGGGTCCAAGGAAAGAGTCATCATACTACTGGGGTCTTAAGTTAACTGTCAGTCTCCTTTGTCAGCGCTCGCGCGATTCTATAAACTTTTGACTAGATAGACAAAATACTATGGATTATTTCTGTTTTGTGAAAAATACATACGATGAAAAATAAATGCCGTTTAAAAGCAAAATGCTCCGATTCTAAGTACATTCAGTCAATAAAATATACTATTCGCTGAAAAATTGATTTTTTATACGACGTACCAAATACGCTTGCTTGATAGCTCCGTTGTCTGCAATATTTTCCCCAAGGGTCTGGATACCATTAAGCTAAATTGAGAGAGTTTCATGAAGTTAGGATTAGGAGACACTAAAATGATGGCAACCAAACACTTACAATGTTAAGGTTGTAAAAACAATCTGAGGGGTGGATTATGTTAAGCTCGAGAGGTTCTCTCCTTCATTGGATTTTAAAATGCTCATCCGTGTTAGAGCAGAACAATGAATAGTCAAAAACCATAGACCTCAGCGGAACAATGTCATGGTACTTGTTGTTGACTAAGCTTAAGGTCAAGATGGCTAGATATTGGCCGAGTTCTGTTTTTGTGTTTTTATGGTCCGAGACGAGGTTGAGGTTTGTAGCATGCAAGAAGAAAAAAAAAGGAGGAGTTCGGGAGCCGGGATGAAAACTAACTGTGTATTAACCTACGTAAGACGTTGATGTTTTGACTGTTTTCTGGCGCTTTTAAAGACTTCAGTTAGCTGGACACGCATTTTGGAATATCATTTAAGCACTGTTCTTAAAACGAATTAAAGACAAAATTAAGACGAATTAAAGACAAACTAAAGACAAATTGAACTTTCTTATTGCCTTATTGCCTGGTTGATTAGGATCTTGACAAGGAAATACAGTGGGTCATATTTATCTCAAACACCATCACATTCCAAAAACGGGAAGATGCAGTCTTACTCTAGTAATCTGCGAGTAAATTTTCAGATGCGAGTAAATTTTTCAAATGCACTCGCCTTTTTCGCATAGGCTTCAAAGTTTGAATATTGCTTTATGAAACACTGAGCTTTTTTTTCAAAAGCTTCGTTGGATGACTCAGACCACCAGTTAACAAGATCACCATTTTTGTTGTATTTTCGACCTGCAAAAGATGGTAAATAAGAATAATATAGCTGACATCAATGATATCTATAATGATATTGATAATAATTATGCTAATAAATATGATAGCCACAGAATTTTAGCGACAAAAGAACAAGGAAAAAAAAGAATAGTACTTGAGGTGAACAAATAAATTAAGAAGTAAGTAAACGTTTGTGTGTCATGAAGTAGTCACTTCACGCGTATCCAGTTGACAATACCGCCTGAAGGGAGATTAGTATGCAGTCGGAATATCGGAAGAAACATTTTCAACACTACGAGTGTCTTCTCGTAGGTGTGAAGAATCACAACCTTTTTTTGAAAACAGAAAATAAAAACATGATAATCAATATAAAGGTGATGACGATGATAATGATGATAGTAGTTATCGTCAGCTTCTTCCACATAATTGGAAGGTATGATAGCATGATAGTGCTTCTCTTTCATGGGGATTCCAGTTTGATTCCTTGCCATTTATTTCGGAACGTCTCTTTCTTTCAAATAGTGTTAAAGTAATAGTTTCATTTTGTGTGCCAGGAACCCAGCAGTAGATTCGCACCAGGGCCCGTCAAGTTTGGTATTAAGATTTTGGTTTTCTTATGTTTTCCTTTTTATTCTAATTTCTTCTCCGCTCTTATGCCCTGAGCTTTGGCTCCACCTATCATCTCTCAATTTATTCATCGCTTCGGCGTCTTTTTCCTCTGGGGTGCCGACCCCAGATAACTCTTGTTCCGGACACCTTACCTCCCTTTCGTACTTCATCGTTTCTTTGGAGCACCCTCTCGAGGGGTTACCCCATGAATTAACCTACCCTCCCCCAGAGACTTGCAATCCCTAGTGTGTGAACGTAAATACAAGTAGGTTCTAAGCTGCCAGCTCATAGCTACTCCTTGGTGTGGGTAGGGTGGACCGAACTTGCACAGCTCCCTTCACGAGTTATATGTTATTTTGGGTTTTTCTGGAGGCTGAGGGCCAAAACTAGAAAAGCTTCCGATGATAGAAAAATATCCCCAATAATACCAGAGATTTCCGAAAGAAATACATTTTTACATCGGATAATTACTCAGCTATCAATAGGAGAGTGAGTCATATAATTAAGGAAAAATATCTCTCCGTCTTGCTACAAGTTTCAATCCTTTTTTGAGCTCTACTTTCAGCAGTTTTCTCGCAAATCATGTTGTAGTGTGATCACTTGTTGTAGTCAGATCACGAATAAACCTTGTCTTGTCGGGAAAGGTGTTTTCATAAACCTCGTGAATCGTTTTCAAACCATGCGTGTTCATGCAGTTAAAAACCAACATTGAAAAGGATTATCGGGTACATGTAGTGCGGGAGAACCCGGCCATGACGAAGAAGGACTCACGTTTTTGAAATTTATATCTGGTAATCATGAAATAACCAAGAAAGAAAGGATACGCAAAGTTTGATCTGTCTTCAACATAACTTTCTTAAAAGCATAGGCAGACAAGATTTTTCGAGAGCAGCCCTCGTAATTCTTAGCCTTCGGAATTCTTAAATAGGAAGCACTACACAAGACATTAGTACAGCAGTTTTTTCTGGAGTAGCAACCAGAGGTAAGCACTACACAAGACATTAGTACAGCAATTTTTTCTGCAATAACAACCAGAAGGAGAGATGTCCAGCCATCTTAATACTTTGTGCTCTGAACGAGTCTTGAATCAGTAAAGAACAGGACCTATCCTCTGCCGTATTCTTTGAAAGTGAAAGAATTCTACTCTCTACCATATCCTGATATCCTGATATCGTTCATTCCAGAGTTAACAAGGGAGGTGACCTTGTAAGTTGCTGCATCTGGCACGGATTTGCAGCGCGTTAACCGTTCGTTAGATTTGCGCCTTCACTCCTTGGGCAGAAGGGGATATTTGCATACAGAGAAACTCGAGTTAAATTTCTAGCTCTAGCAATTATGACCGTTTAGTTTCTGTCTATAAAAACTCCAACTATCTGAGAGAAAAGGAGAGGGAATCATTATACTCTTTAACGTGAACACTGTAGATTGACTGAATCAAAATCATTTTCGCGTTAGTTCTACCTCGGTACCATTTCAACTACTTGACAAATTTCTAAACTGTTTATATACAAGAATCATTTAACAATGATAATTTGGGTAACGATGTAAATGATGGTAATGATAATGATGATGATGATAACAATAATAATGAATAGTAATCACGAAGATAAAAAAAAATCGTTATAAAATATGAAAACACAGTGATCGAAAGAATAATGTTTTCACGATGACAGTGATCGTCCTGTCCCTACTTTTGATAATAGGCGCTAGGGTTTTCATTACATAAAACTTCTGTCCACTCCGCATCTAAATAAATCAACGACACAGGAATAATATTTGGAAATGGCATTTCTTGTATTACATAAACTTGTGCCGAAACGCATGCAACTTGATGGACTGGATACTTCACATTTAATCAAATATTAAATTTCCATTCAAGCACAAATTTGATTACAAAGACTTTAAATGATACTTACCATTGCTATCAAATCCATGCGTTATTTCATGAGCAATTACAATTCCTATTCCACCGTAGGTTATTGCACTGATACAATAGAAACAAAGTGTTGAATAGTAAGGCCATCTTAAAATTGTTTTTCATAAGTACGAAAACAAAGACGAAATTACAAGATTAACAAGAGAGCATGTCATGTTGGAAGAAGGTCTCGATTTATTCCAAAAATTGATAGTTCTCAGTGTAATGAAAAGACTTTTGCCCGTTCTTAGTTCCAGAGAGCAGAATATTTCAACAATTGGTGGGAATTCTTGATGACCCGTTTGCTAAAGCTCCCTCTGGACGAATCTTTGCTGTTAAGTAACTTAGCGGCTGCTCAGTCAACTATTTAATAGCACATGGCATCACTATGATGCAGGTGGGGCTTAACTGGGCTCCACCTTAGGTCTTCTAGCATAATTGCATGGTCGCACGTTCTTTCCCTGCTGAGTATACTTGCACTCCTTGCATCCTGCTTAGGTTACGATCTGAAGTATGTGACCAGAAACCTCACTACAGTAATGGGTGTGGCTTTCCTAAACAAGTACTTTATTCGGCCTATCTTTCCACGGGCGGATTAGCAAGAGGACACAGTTTAACTGTGTGTGCATCAAATGTCAGTCTACTGTCGAACACTCCTGAGGTTTCGATGGCATCTGCAACCCACGTAATTAAGAAAACTGGACCAGAGGTGTTCATGTTCAAATCTCCAATATGGCTCAAACTTAGCCCAATTATAAAGTATCATGAGTCGACAAATGCGTGAAAATAACAGGTCAAAATATTTTATTCCTGGGAGATATGGGATCCCCATGGGAAATCCTCTTCTTCCTGCATTGTTTGTATAATTAATGAGCAAGCTTTGCCTTGCTACTGTGACAAACAGTAAAGCCATCTGCAAATTCAATCCACCGGGTTATGTTCTTTATCTATCAGAACTTGAGACCACCGAAATATTCTAACTTGTCCATTCATTTCTTCCCTTACCTTACCCTTACTGCTAAGAAAACTTTTCCTAAATTTGAGAAAGTTGAAATATGAAGGTATTTCAAATCCCAATATCTCTATATCGCTATGCCCGACACCCACACAATCTTGAAAAGTATTTTGACGTGCCCCCCACAGTCACTCTGTGTCATCTACTTTTCCAACTGTGCATTTTGTGATTTTCGGACTTTTAGGAGTTCAGGGAGACCACGGTACTACTGATTTTTTTTGTTCCTCGGTGAACCAGCAACTAACTCAAAGTTAGCAAATAAAAAGTAAGTTATATTAAACCTAATATACCAGAAACACAAAGCATGATATGACTCCCGAATGAATGTCAAAGTGAACCGCTCTATAAAATTGCAGGGTCGATGTGATCATTAATTAATGTGATGAATAATTTTTAATTACAACAGTTTTCAGGGCATGAAATGATCTTTTGCTACCGCTACATATAATTCAAAAATTTAAACGCTGTGCAAGACCAGTAATATTTATCAATCTTTTTAAGAGCTTTCATCCCGCTTAACCTTTCCACAAGGCAACAAAGCGAATCGGATCTGTAAAATGATGTCGTAATTAATCTGACAAGTGATATCAAGCCAGCAGTTGGAACGAAGGCACCTGCTTTCTTCGGTCAAAAGATTTGGACCATGTGCGCCTTTGATGTTCATCATCAATTGCTTCGTTTACTCGAAAATAATCCAAATATTACTACGGAATAAGTTCTCGAAAAGGGCTCAAAATGTGGTATTAAAAGATTCTTTCCCCAATTAGGCGTAAACCACACTCTTTAAGGTGATTACTTAGTATTGCTCTGTGCATCCTGTCACAAACCTAACAGTTCAAGTCGAACAATCGTCTCTGCCTGTCGTTTTCCTACCGAATTTATTTCTAACTATTTGGAACAAATTATTGCACCCATCGTCAAATCGTTACTATCATAGTTTAAAGACAGCCAACACGCACTAGAAATTTTCTCACGATTGTAATTTCACTTTGAATATCACCTCTTTTTATCGTCATACGTAATTACAAAGGTCTCCTGGCATATTTTCCGGTCAACGTACTCTCAAGGAACTTAACTCTGAAACAGTACTTCACCTAGCTGAACTAGCTTAACACTCAATTGCTTTTCATCCGGGGACAAATATAAAAAACCAACCAATGGTATAGCCATGGGTACCAAAATGGAACAACAATATCGGCGCTACTTCCTTTACTAGACAGGAACCTACTCGATTTATAACTACTGTCGCTTCACCGGGTGAAGTGACGGCAATATTCCGAGGAAGTTTCTGGCAACGTATCAAGAAAATTGGCTCAATTTTTATGACAATAAAACAAGAGAAATAAGACAAGAATAAGACAAATAAGAATAAGACAAGCGAAAAATGACCCTATATGGCCATTTTTGAACAATGGCACAACAGCTTCAGAACACACGAGGGATTTGTCGAAGTTTCGATTAGCATACGAGCGGGAATTTAAACGCTCGGAAAGACTAGACTTTAGTTTAGAACTATGACGACTTTAGTTTAGAACTATGACAGTTTCTGGAGAAAGATTTATAGGGAGAGAGGTGGACTGAATGAGACACAATATATTTTGAATTCTCGATATGTGCATTGCCACAATAGCGGTCAATTTTTTCCTGGGGTAGACCATTGAGAGTTGACTCGACGAGACCAATTTACGCTACCCACTCCCCCGAAGCGGCTAAATAAGCGTTTAATTTTCCCTTGGGAAAATTGTCCGGTGACAATTTACTTGTCGTGTGCTACCTACTCTTCCAAAATAGCTAAGTTGTGATGCCAAAAATTTGTTTCCGATTAGTCACGAACTTTTCTCGCGGCGCTTCGGCCAAAGTCCCTCAGCGCTACAAAGAACAAAAGGACTATTGTTTACTACTTAATATCTGAAGTTGAGCCGGAACAATAGACGATTTCTTGATACGCACTTTTTTAGACATCAAAATTTTCTAACGAGGGTAACGCCCTATGCACTAGTGTGCACTACAAACTTATACATTCTCATCTCTGCAATCATCACGTGTCAAGAATTCCATTCCTTTTTCTCAGTTTCTTTGACTTTGTCGTTTGTTTAGTGGCGACTCTGACTTTTCCGACAAGTCAGAGGCAACGTGCCAGTTTTTCGATAAAACGTGGCTAATCTTTTTCTTTCGTTCAAACGAGCCAAACAAATTGGTCGACAATCTATTCCACAAACGTCAAGAAAGAAAATAATAGAAAGATTTCTAATCACCCCAACAGTCATAATAAATAAATAAAGAAATTTATTTATTTAAATTCGATAATGTAGGAAGTGGTTACCCAATCTACGTAGCCTATGCTCATGTTGAAAACAATCAACACCTAGATCCATCATTCTTCTAGGAATGATGGAGTTAACTGCATGATTGTGGGAATTAAATGTGAGGGTGAATAGAATTCTATCGGGTATTTCCCTTCTGTGACATTTGAGACCCTAGTGATCCCTAAGGATTACTGGTCATGTCACGCTTACCTCCGAAAAGTTTCAATTCATTGTTTAACTTGCACTTTTCGCAAAAAGGTATACCTTCGTGAAACCCGTAGACGACAAGGCAAGTTCGAAGGTATTCTTTTAATCGATGAGCGAGCTATTACGAGAACACCTTCCAACGTAGAAAGGAATAGCAAAGACGCATCCTAACCAGTCGTCAGACATAAGTAGCACATGGCAGTCTCAGACCTTTTTCCAACATCTAGGCAGTTCGGTATGTCACAAAAGTCTTATTTACTCCCTACATTTTTATACTTGTTTTCGCGTTGCCAATGCAATAGAGAAGCTGTATTTTCCACACGTAAAACACACAACCAATAGTTCTACCATTTGCTTCAATGAAGAGCCAAGGTTCGAAACGTAAGTTTTTGAAACTGCACTTCACAGTGACAATTTACATCATAAAGTCATTTGATTATCTCGTTCCCTACTGATGCAGCACCACAGTTCTTTTAGAAATTGATCCCTTTTTTTCCATGTTCTTGAAGCCTAGTAGATATAGAACATAACCTGCTGGATTGAGTTTTCAGAGGTCATTTCCGTTTGTCACAGCAGCAAAGCAAATTTAGCCTATAAATTATGCAAAGAAATGCTGCAAATAGGAGTTTTTCCATGAGGACCCCCATATCTCCCAGTGAATGAAATATCTTTATCTATTATTTTCACATATTTGTTCCCTGCTTTAGAACACATTTTTCACATATTTGATCAGTGATTTAGAACGAAATCAGTGATTTGATCATTTTCGCCCTTGCCCGGTTTCGGCTGGTTTTCTTGTGGGCACGCTCCTAACTTGGTTTTACCCAGGTGAAAAAATTATCTGTTATTAAAACACCAGTTGTGTAGCCCAATGAGGTAAAGATGACTCACTGTCCTGACCCCGAAATGACATGAACAGTTTGGTGTAGTCAACATAACGGTCCATTCCGTTGCGGAATCCATTATAAGTCATTGGCATAAACTATAAAAAGGTGGTGCCCAAGGATGCTACCCTGGGGAACGCTGCAGATCATAAGGAACAGGTCGAAAAAAACAGAATTTATGCGCGAAGCCTGGTTAAGTTGAGACAAGTAAATTATGAACCACTGGATAATAATAATAATAATAAAATCTTTGGATGGCAGAATAATAATAATAATAAAATCTTGGATGGCAGAAGATGACAAGCAAATGTCCTTAAGTTTGTTGACCAATGAATATATCATTGTTGACGCTATCAAGCACCTTGCTCGTCTTAGGGAGAACAACAGATAATTAGACTCCTTAAGATATACCGCTAGCGCCATTATGAATTCATTAAATGATCACATGATCGTGTCCTTCCCGTAAAAGCTACATGTTTTCCCGGGGTAATCAGTGGTCTACACGTGAGTTCGCACCCAGTAAAAATGTAGAAATGGGTACGTTTTTATGGTCTTTCTCTTTGCTTATTGGACCAGAGTGATATTAAGATTCTTGCATAAACATTTGCTTTTCTGATTTGAAGCGTTTCGGGATTACGAAAAAGTTTTGTTGAGGCA